AGGAATGGGAAAGAAGGAATCTGACTCCACAAATGCATTCTTTGTGGTTTGAAATTGCTTTCTTGAGAGAGTGTACTCTAGTGTGTCTGTGGACACTACTTAAAAATTAAAGTGATTTAGAGAAATATTTTCAATGAATTATTGTGACTGTCCATTTCTCTTGGTAGAGATGTACATTTTTTTCTCTTTTTTCCTTTTTGACTTTAATAATCTGTAGCTTAATGTTGCCCTTAATTTGATAATAGTCTCATGAAATACTAGCTAATAAAAGTGTTTGAAAATAAACCTTTGATAAAAGGTTTGTCTTCAAATGATAATACATACGTACATATACATTGGTGTACGTTTCTCCAGCTTGCTCAATATTGGAGCTGTTTTTCCTTTTGCAGTACTTGTAGAAGACATATTTACATCGTGCACTATGACACATATGCAGCGGCATTTTAATTTCTTTCAGTAACCGAGTTGAAATGTTCTGCTGCTGCAAACTGTTTACTCTCCCTGAGCTGTGTAGTGTTGTGTAATTTTCTTTTGCTTGAGGGACTTTCTGCTGTTCATTGATAGGTTGTTGATCTCCTGCTGATTGTGACAGTTGAGTCAGTTCTCAAAGAAAATTGCCTTTGTACTTGTCAAGAAGGATGTCTGATCAGTACTGTTCTCCAAGTCTACAGCACTTGGGGACGAGGGCAGTAGTTGCAGAATTACTTGCTGCAGAAGTTGGATTCTAAAGATTGGAGCTGGCATCAGACAGCTTGGACTGCAGTTGTCCATCTTAGTACAGACAAGTTTCTTTGTGTCAAATCTGCCTTTCCTGTGGTTTCAGTGCAGTAAGTCTGCAGAGAATTTTTTTGGTCCTAGAAGAGAAAACACAATGAAGATCCAAAGTAGAGCTAAGAAAGTTGAATCTCTCTAACATCAGAGACTGTGCCCCATGTTTCAGCTGTTCAAGAAAGCAACTTCTTGTCTGTTGACCTTCACAGTTAGGTTTTTTCATCTAGTCATGAGTTCCTTATCAGAAGTGCCTTTGTTTTCTTGTGGATCATTACCAATGTAATAAAGTCTCCTTCTACCTGGTCTCACTGCAGTGCTGGTGATCTCATTGAGATACTGCCCATCCCTATTGAAGTGGGATAACCCAATTACTCCTCCTGGGTAGCCAGTTGATAGGTCACTGTCAAAGGAGTAGGACCTTCAGCTTCCACAAGCAGTCCGGTTACTCTTACCCATTATTTATTTCTGATTCTTCTTTGTTTCCTATTGGTCAACTGGATGATGTTGACTAAAGTTTTTTTCCATCTCAAATTTATTTGTGTACTTTCGTAATACACAAGAATGAAATCTAGGCATAAAGCATCATGTAGTTATATGCTGCTTCATACAAGATTGTCTCAGAACATTCTAAATACATGTTTATTTTTCAGTGAGACACTTCTCTATCAAAGCAGTTGTTCCTTAGGTAAAGGGATGGTCCTGGCTTTTGTGTGAGGGTGCATTCAGCATGTTCAAAGATAGGTCTTTTCTACTTTTCCCTCCATCTCAGGTTGTTGCAACAGATGAATCCCTCCTGAACTGAAGGGTCATTTGCTGATAACTGAAGAGGTGGGGGGGTCTTCTTTCAGTGGGTTAGAGCTCAACAGTAGAACATGTATGCATAGGGTCTGTCTCATACTTACGAGCTTGTGACATACAATTCAGCTGTATTAAAATTGAAACTACCAAATTCACCTTTCACTATCAGAAGCTCATCACCTTTTGGGATTGGTATATCAAGAAGAAAATCCTGCTG